CATATACAAACACAGGGTGAATTATTTTAAGTAACACATTGATCTTTTTTTTTAAACAAGGCTTCGAAAAATGTTTTGTATAAAAGTTTTATGATTTCAAGAGTGAGTAAAATAATTTTGATTTAACCTTGGGTGTTAAAGGTTCTCAATTGTCTTTAATATTTTTATAAATATCAATAATCTTAAAATCTCTGAAATTTCGAAAAACCAGATTCTTCTCAACCAGGATATGAATCTTTATAAAACATAAATATCCGTTTTCATCAAATATATTTTCATATTATAAAAAAATAAGAGAAACCAAAAAAGAAAATAAGACAGATTTAGAAACATTTAATAATCACTATACGAGAAAATATATTGATATAAGTGAAAACAATTTGAGTTAAAATTTATTCTATATAGAAAACATTCAGCTTATCTTTAGCTTTTTAAAATAAATTATTGTTACTTGTATTTAGATAGATGTTAAGGTAAATTCAATATTAGATAGCAAAATTTATTTTATCATATGTACCTAAGTTAAACAAAAAGAAATGACGAAAGAAATTTTATACAAAAAATTTACTTTATCCCTCTTACTTACTTTTCAATTTATTTTATAGATTTATTTTTTCTGTCATATTATCAATTATAGGACACCTTGTATACGTACAGTTTCCTTAAAAGCAATGATATCATAGACTCCTATTTTTTTCACTTTTTTGTGCGGTACAAAATATTAACTTACCCTTAAATATTTATTGAACATTATAAGTACACATTATCGTACCGACGGATATATTCTATTACGCGACGTCATAATACTGAGATTTATCATCTTTATAAACAAATGAAGCTAACTCAGAGAGAATTATTGTCGTAATCGTCTGCAATTGATATCTCGTGCTTTTAAGGAGAGTGTTATTATATATCGTCATGTCTCTCTAGTAGTACAATCCAACGCGATTGTCTGCTACATTTCAATATCTATAATATGAAAATCGATTGGAATAACTATCTTCCCTCTTCATCAACGTATATAATGCATGTAGCGCATCAATTTATACGTATGCGGCATAAAAATCGATCAGATGGATCCTTAAGTATCGAATGTATCGTGTAAGCTTATGTCTTAACAGCTTATGTCAAAACACACCTCGATATTACCAAATGTCACATTTGTCATAACAATATGAAGATACTCCTAGCGTGATACTTAAAGCTCTTACAACTTTTACAACACACTTGCGCATAGATAGTAGCAATAGCTGGGGTTTGGACTAGACATGATGCGGTTGAATATGAGGCAGCCGACTTGATGAGATGGATCAGGATTTCATGCTACTATTCTCGTCTAGACGCCTTTCTGTTGCCATCGCCAACAGATTAGAAAATTCCATTTCTAACACTTGTCTTGCCTGTGAAAATAATACGACGTTTATTTATATTTTTGCAAGTTCCTGTTAGAAATACAAATTAAACACGATGTAAAACTCCGCAGACGTCTGCCACGTTTACCTGTGTATTCTGTGTAGGAATTTGTAAAGTTAGCGCAAAACTATTCGCATCGAAACTTTCATCTAGGGCTATGAGCGCACCGTGCACACCTGATTCCAAGAGATTATTTCCATATTCCTGTGGATATTATAAATGGTATGTAAATTTCTTCTGCAATCAATTATAATTGAACGTTCAAGAATACTTATCTACCTTCAAACCAATCGATTGTACCCATCTTATGACACGATCATTACTCCACACAAGTACATCTATATTGGCACCTTCTGCCATTCGTCTTCTCTCCTCTAATTGCTGTCTATCGTAATTTAGTCGTTTTAAGCAAGAAATGCCATACTGTAAGCTTGTTCTAAAATAATAACATTGCATTAATAACATTGTAACATAATTATAATGAAAATATGTTAATTATGTGATGATATATTAATAATATAAATAGGAAATTTAAATAATTCGGTGAGTGTCAAAATATCAACATTGTCCTTTTCTTACCTATGGAAGCTATCAACCATTCTTAGTTGACCACGAAGATCTTTCTTCGTAAGATGATCGAGCATTCTAGCATCAACAAGGCACTCCAGTAAAAGTGGACCGGTACTGAGGTAGTCCAAGACTCGGTAACCAGACATTACCTATCCACTCGTGATTCATATCACCAAATGCTAATGTTGTGCGAGAAGTTTTTGGCGCTGACGGGCTCGTAAGTGATACCATCTCCTGAATGGCTAATCTTAGCTTTAATCGATGCAAAGGATTGCTGCCACAAAAATAGAGAATTATTGTCATGATTGTAATTGTTATAACAAATTTTAAAATTATATGGTAAAATTACAACGTAATTTTTATATTTCACATGTTGCACAATCAATAAACATTAAAAATAATGTTATTTTTGGAAATACATAGTTTTAATATAATATTTTGCAGCATACCTAATACCAATTTCTCGTTGAATTTCAGTATCGCTGAGAGCACTCATGATAGCACCGCTTTTGACATTTGCTCGGCAAGCAGCGACATACCATGTCGGCATGCCCACCCAAAGCTCTAACCAAGCAACTACCGTTGGTCCATTCCACAGAGCGAAGGGCGTCCCGGCTTTCATCGCTTCCGCCAAAAGCTCGTGCCGTGAGGAGTCCAACATACTACCAAACATGCTTGGACTAAAATATTAAATATATATAGAAGATCGCAGTAATGATAAATTATTTATCTTTGTGCAATCTGAACATAATTTCACGTATAGACATATTATTATTTTATTATAATATTTGGACAATAACTACTCGTATATTTAAGATATCCTCTAACATAATAACATTAGCTTGAGATCTAATAAAAAATTCTGAGTAAAAAGTGAGTGAAGTTTCAATAAATGTTCTCTTATAAAAAACTATTTAAAAATTTTGTTTATCATGCCTTTTAATTAAAAAGTTAAGAAAATTGTAATAGACAAAACTAAATATTTTTTACTTATAACAATAATCACGTATTATAAAAGTTACTAAAAAGGTCATACAAAATCATACAAAAGATGTTCAAAACCTTTGTTAAAAGTATTTTCACATTACCTTGTTATTATCAAGTTAATAATATATAATTTTACATATGCACGTATAAATTAAAATTGTTTAAAATAATTACAATTACTTGTTGTGATGCAATATAGATTCCGGTATAAGAAGCTTAATGAAATTCATAATTATTAAAAACTAAAGTAGAAAAATATTATAACTTTTATGCAAATACCTCTTCTTTTTCCTTCGATCAAAATCACTTTTGCTTCCGAGCGTACCAGCTACACATACACTATCCCCATAATCAGGATCAGCTGGTGTACTTGCGCCTCCCATTCCTGGTACATCTCCTGGCATTGGTGTATCTTTCCCTTTGATCTAAGTATAATAAAAAGATAAAAGATAAGATTATCGAACACACAAAACGTAACCATTTTAGTCAATTTTCTTTTCTTTATAAATTTCATATTCAAAGTATAAGAACTTAACTGTAAATTTTTCTACTGGAATAATACAGTAAATTATATATTAAAATTTTACATATTTTTCATGTGATGTACATACATTTTCAAACTTTTTTTTTAACCAATTAAAATAATAATTAATTTATTTATCACAGATTAGTTACAAGATAATTAAATAATGCCCAAATATCTTCTTGAGGAGAGTATGCTCTCGTGAAATCTTATAAATTTTTATATTTAAGTGAATAAAAGAAAGAGAAGAAAAATTTTTCACCTTCTCCTTTTTGCTGAAAAATCTACCAAGACTGCTTTTAATGCCTTTCTTCTTTTGAGCAGCTGCAACTGCAGCTGCCGTAGCCGGACTCATGGTTGATTGCATGTGAAGATGTGACGTTGATAATTGTCCAATGGGCAGTCCAACGTTGGAGAAATTATTCTTGTGCAGACTGTCCTGGCTGCTGTGGCGTGAGGACAATGGGGAAGGGGGAGTTCCAGAATTGAGTGCGCCGTTGTTATGCTGCCCATGCCTGCTGCATGGAGCGCTAAATCTAGTTTCTATTTCTACTCTAATAGATACTACTACATTTTAGCCTACATAAAAGAATATCTTTTTTTTTCATATCTCATTTTTTCCATTATATTAAACATTTATGCTTTCATTTATGCTATTCTACCTCATCATTCCAACATTATATCCTTTGTATATCATTTTATATGATTTAGTAATTAACTTATAATAAGTTCTTAAAAAAGATATCTGTTCTTGCAAATCTCTTCTGTAATGCAGTTTTTCATATTTCTTATATTAAAATACAGAAAACATCTTTTTTCATATTTATATATATAAAACTTATTTTAACAAATATTTCTTTAATATGTCAGATTCTTCAGATTTATTTAAAAAAATAATCGATGCTAAGCTAATCAAAGAATTTCTTATTCAAAGGACAGTTGATTTTGAGACACATCTTGCATTATTACTTTTAAGTTTAAAATCACAACTTGTACAAAGAGGAGCTTTCTTTCTTTCTCAGTTATACTGTGTTCAAAAGAAGAAATTTACAGACTCAAGCGAATTGTGATACAATTACGCATGATACTTTAGCATGATACTTTAGCATAATACATGTACATATGCATAATAATGTTCGATTTTAAGTAGCGTACTTAACAGCAAAAAATAAATAAATTAGCATTATTAAAGTAATATTAATAAGATAAACGTAAGCATGTCATAATACATAAATCATGAAATAATTAACAAACGAAAATGCATGAAAGGAATTCTACAATTTTATATTCTCTTTGGAAGAAAACATTCTATACACTTTCTTCTTTTTATGACAAATAATTCGGTAACATTCGTACTTGTATAAAAACAATAATAAAAACTACACCTATCCTGCATTACATATTTGTTAGATATGAAAATTGGAAAATATTGCTGATTACTTTTTGAGATTATTATAAAGACAAGCGAATTACAAAAATAACCTTATACGCGACACGGATTTGTGCATTTCATGCATTGAATCCAATTCTCTCGATTTCATAAATTCCTTCTGCTTAAGACGGCGATGTCTATCATGAATTGGATAGGCTCGAATGTACGGATGTGAGAACAAGCTAATATCAATCTGTCCCGGAATTTTCGGGAGTCTTTCGGAACCATTGGGCGCTTCTGTGCCACTGTGCTCGAGAATTGATACTGCGGGCATATAAGTGACACTTTGCATGCTACTTTCATTCTTTACATTTCTGAAAAAGATGTCTAAATAAATGATGTAGTTGCCTGAACGATAAACCAATTACCATCAACATGACCTGGGCTGACTTGAAAGTCACTCATCTCATGCCCACAAGAGCCATTCAAATATGTCGTGCACAACGGCATATAATAATGCGATTTACATGCAGTATTAGTATCTTTAATTAACCTGTGTGTGGGGAAACCACTGCTCGGAAATCCACTCTGTCCGGTACGTCTGATAGCATAAACAATGAAAAGTACGAACTTAAAAGATAATAGTAAACTCTGGCTAATCTCATCTCCACACATACAATATATAATCAAGGTTTCCCCACATTAAACTCGTATATCCTAGAATGATTTTTGTACATACGATTGCAGAATATATTTCTCTTCTTCTTTTTTTTAGAGATGTGATTGCCAAAGTATAGAAAATAATTTACGTTGTAAATATCATATCAAAAGAATATATACGAACAGTGTAATATAAAAGCTGAATTGATTTTGGAGAATCAAAATTTCCCTTCCAATTAAAAAATTAAAAATATACCTTCTAAGTTCTTCCTGACTATGAGCCAATGCTTGAACGACTCGTTCCAACCTTAAGGACCTGGCTGTTAAAGGAGACGCCGCATCGCTACCACCGCTTCCTGCACCGCCAGTGCTATCTCTTTCACTAACTGAATGCAATTCTTCCCCAGACAACTGCAACTGTCACGTAAACGAAAAACGTTATTCAAAATTATATAGTTTTATTCTAAATCTTATTTAACACAAATTGCTTTCATTTCATGATAACTAAATTAAATTGCTAATTAACCTGGCTAGCAGGAAGAGATTCTGATAATTGGCCCGGACTAGCTAAAGAAGCAGCGTATTGATGTAAATGCGCCGGAGACATTGACGCAGGTGCCTACGTGAAAAAAAAATATATAAAAATATATTATAAGCAACGTGATCGATTTGCTTATATTCTAATCAATCTAATATAATTAATAACATAATTATTGCATTTACGTGATTACTAACGGTGTGGTACTTATGCAAATAATCCCTGTTTGGACTATGGTGAGATTTTGGTGTGGATCGTCCGCTCAGTGGTGGTGATGCTCGTTCGAGGCTTCGGCCCCTCGCTAACAGATTCATGTGCTCGAGGCTGCCAACACGAGACTCCAATTCTTCCGCACGCGCTTCCGTACTTTGTTTTTCTTCCTGCAAAATCCTCTCTTTTCAGTCACTCAGAATTTAAAAACAATCAATATTTCAATCAATTGAATTTAAAAATAAATAAATATCACAAATTATTTCTCAGATCTGCAACACTCTCTGTTTCATTTTATATCAACATTTTATTTTATACGATCAGATTTACATGTCAAGTAACATCAATTACCTGAATTAATCTAATTTCTTTATTAATAGCATCTAATTGTTCTTGCAGCATCAATGCTAACGTTTGGGCATCTGTATGCCCTGTAGGGCTAATTACATCTGCTGTACAACTAAAAATACTTTCATTATCCCCATCGCCTTCTGCGTCACTCGAAACATCAAATGCTTGTTGAACGTTAGCAAGCACATGTGCTTGTTGCAGTTTTTCCCATTCCTGTTCCGCCAAAGTCCGTGCAACGTAATTCTGAAACATCAACATTTGCATTATATTTACATTTATATTTAGATATGCAATTGTGACAAATACTTTTTTTTATAATGTTAACAAAACAATACCTTTGATGTATCATCTTCCATAGACCGTTTACCTCCTCTTCTCGGCAATGAGTGTGTGTCGAAACTGCTGTGACTTGCGCTTCTCGAGAAGGAGCCTGGATCCACAGCGTTTGGCGACAAACTTCTCGTTAATGCGTCTGTTTGTTGAATATTAAATGCGATCTCCTGCTGAAGCATCTGCCTTTTAACATTGTCAATTTCCAAACGTGCTTTGCCCAATTCCTTAACAATGTCAGCCTTTTCGTTTTGTAGATCTTCCGCCACTTTTCTCGTTTTCTCGAGTTCCTGAGTGAGCGCGTTCTTTTCTTCTAATGCATGCATTCGTTCTTTCAAATGCACTTGCAATCTTTCATTGGATTCTAAATAAAAATTTAATCTAACTTAATTCCTCTTATATATAAAACTGTTAATATTTATTTGTAGTATTTGTATTAAACTGTTAAATATACAGTTAGTTAATAGGCAAATATAATTATAAAACAAACAAATATAGAAAAATATTGTATTGAAATTACCAGACAAAAGTTTATCGACGGTTGCACTAAGGCGTGTGTTATGCTCCTCATTCATTTTTAGCCGTTGATTAACGCGCATCACTTCTGCATTTTTTTCCTCTAATTGTGCTTCCAGTCTTTGTATCCTATCTTCCGCGCTACCATGCCTCTCCTGAGCCTGCTTAAATGTTTTACATAATTAAATTATTTATTATACAAGATTTATTTATAATATTATTATTAATATTAATTAATATTATTATATTATATTAATATTATATTATTATATTATATTAATATTATAATATTATTATTAATATTATTATATTATTTATTTATAATATTATCAACTTTCGTGATAATATATTTAATTTAATTAATGTAAAAATGTTATTTTACAAACTGTTTTTCATTATTTTAATAAATTTCGACTTGATGTTAATGATGTCAATTCTCGTGATTGGAATAAAGGATGATCATGTCAAAATATAATTCAGGGCAAATGATGAATATATAACTTATCGTATATTATATTCTTTTTTCATATATAATAATTATATAATTATTCTAATATTCTTATATGATCTAAATGACACTCTATAATAAAAATAGCACGAAAATAAAAATGTGTTATACCCATATGAGCAAAAAGAAAAATAGAAAAAAAGAGAGAATATATTATATATTATAAACATTCAAAAAGTGACACACTATTCATAAACTATAAATCACGATATTTGAAACATATCCGTCATTTACAGAATTTACTATATGTAGTAGATTTGTACAGACCAGGTTGGCTTCCACTATTCATGCTGCATTGTATCAGTTTGCAAATCATATAAGATAGGATATAATCAATTTTCAAAATTATGTAAAGAAATCATATAACTAAACATTCTTGATGCAAGTAAATTTGCATTGCAAAATTTGTAAATTCAGCGTAAGTAGTTATATTCAGCGATTTGTGTGTTTCAGCGTAAGTGTTGCAAAGTACAACTGCAGTGCATAGAA